CATCAGGATAGCAAATATATAGTAAGAGGATAACTAGAAGTGATCCCGTAGGATCGACTGACCCCACGACTACATAATTACCTGGATCAATTTGGTTCAGGCATGAATTTGCGCCCGCTTCAGTCACTAATAATCCCTCACGGGAGATATTCACTGTGGATCGTGATAGCGAGATTCAAAGAGTAGCGAGGGAGGAACACTTGAATCCCTTTCGCAGAGATGATTCTAGTAAAGAGAAAGGTAGGTCACGACGCTTCGGAATTCAATACCAGAGGAGGCTGAGGGATGTAGTGTCTTATGGAGGACAGTGTGATCTGAGAGTGAAGGAAGACCTACTAGATTTTGAGGGGAGGGTAAATTTAGATGACTTTATTGAGTGGCTGCATATAGTCAAGAGGATTTTTGATTACAAGGGATGCCAACTGATAGAAAATGAAGCTTGCTGTCGTAATATTAAAGAAGAGCGCCTCATTGTGGTGAGAGAATCTACAGAGAGAGACAAAGAGAAGGTCAAAGCAAAATCTTCACTTGGGGGAAGATGAAGAAAGAGATACAAACAAAGTACTTATACCGACATTATCACCATGACATGTTCTTGAGGCTACATTACTTGTGTCAGGGCGAGTTGTCAGCGGAGGAATTCATGACAGAATTCAAGTAGATTATACTGAAATGTGAATTGGTAGAGCTAGAGGAACACACTATACCCAGTTACTTGGGAGGCCTAAAACCCTTCATCGACAATGTGGTCCAGCTACACCTTATTGGTTATGTGGTGACGTTCGGAATTTGACACTGAAGGTGGAGAGATAGTAGAAGCAGAGCAGACACCCACGTCCATTCAGACAACCACACACAACTGGAGACATTAGTAGGAGTATGCTTAAGGGAGTTGAGAAGACTGGTCAGGAGAATGACAATGTCGATTAGATTGAGAATTTTGAGAAGAGTAGCACACCCAACACAATTCTAGCTAGGACATGCTTCAGGTTTCATGGATATGGGCACATCTCCTTTAGTTGCCCTTCGAGCAGAGTTGTTTTATTCGCTGAGCAGGGTGCACTAGAAGAGGTGAGTGAGGAGGAGGTAGCTGAATAGCAGGGTGAAGAGTACCTACTTTCATTTGATAAGGGTGAGATGCTTGTGGTTAAATAGGTCATTCGAACCAAGACCATGAGGGAGAAACACAACATCTTTCATACAATTGTATTGTGGAGGGAAAAATATGTAGCCTTATCATCGATGTAGGTAATGACAAAAATGTAGCGTCTGCATAGATTGTGGACGAGTTAAATCTCATTAGTTAGAGTGGTGTGATGTTGTGCCAATGTATAGCCTTATCATTAGTTATATTTCTTGATGTGGTTGAAGGAGAATATGGTTAGCATTGACAGGAGATGCCTCGTAGAGTTTTTTATTGAGAATTAGCCGCAGGATTAGGAGTGGTGTGATGTTGTGCCAATGGATGTCTATCACATCTTTTTGGGGAGACCGTGGACGTTTAATCGCAGGACTCAACATGATAGGTTCAATAATACCTATTCATTCATCAAAGATGGAAATCACACAGTTCTTCTATCTTATGCAGAGGCCGATGTTATAGGCGTTCGTAGAGAGACACAAATGGGATCAATTTTGCTGATTATAGAGGGTAGCAAGATAGAAGAGTAGATATCATAAACATGTCAACCACTACGGAGAAAGTTTCAGGATATTCTTATCAACAACTTACCGCCATGGCCGTCACCGTTAGGGGAGGTTCTGTTTGTTTTCACTTCAAGAGTAAGCTAACATCAAGCAACTTTTAGAAGATTCTGTAGATTACACTTGGTGTAAAATCCCACTACAGATCAATACGGTACTCACAAATGGTTGGACAGATATAGATGGTTACTCGTAATTGGGGAAACCTTCTTAGGTGTTGTGGGACAGTGCATACAATGGTGGGATCCAGGTGCTTCTTGGGACGCAGTTGAAGATCCTCCAATTCAGCAAAGTTATAGTAGCTCCACCACCTCAACGTCGTCTACTTGACACCATACTATGAGGAGTCAGGAGTTTTGACTGATGAGATCGAAGCTCCCACATGGCCTTGACCTCGGGACGTCCAGCACGATGCCCATTGGTGCGAAAAATTGCCGTGTCCCTCCCTGGACAAACTCGGTCTAGGCATAGGAGGCTGGTCAACCCTCTGACATGGGATTATTGCCTCCTTGTGAGAGGGGGCCCACTTTTAAATACTCTAGTTTTATTTATTTGCTTTTGACATGTTTAGTTTTCAATTTTTTCCTTATTTTTATGTTAGGATAGTGGTTAGCATCTCCTCTTCCCTTTTAGGGTTGTATCCAAGGGTTCGAGTGGCGCTCCAACTATATCTCGCTCTCGAGGTTGTGATTAGGCTTCCTCAACCCTTCCACTTTGTTCTCACATTGCTCTTAACCGCCTCGTCACCCCATCCCATTGTAGCCCCCACAAAACAACTATCTTGGTCGTCTATCTCTGCAGTTTTTCGCCTTCCCAGCCACTCTTCCCATCTTCTTATTGTTTCCTGCTGTTCCAACCCTCCAGGCAGTTTTTCGCCTTCCCAGCCACTCTTCCCATCTTATTGTTTCCTGCTGTTCCAACCCTCCACTTTGGCTATCGCTGCCTAGAACTTCCATCTACCCGCTGTTTTCTGTGCTTTCCAGTCTACCTACATACTTATTGCTGCCCAGGATAACAAGCACTTGCGGTTTCCCTACTGTCCATGCCCTTCTGCTCCACTTCTTTGCCTTGCATCTACCTTTTTAAGCCTCGAACAACCACCACCACCCTCTCTAAATCCGCCCTAGTCAAGTTTTGTGTGTCCTGTTTATTGCTATTTCCTATTTTCTTTTGTTTGGTTGTAATTATCTATTTGAATTCAAGAATAATAATGTTTTTCCATTGTTGTTTGGTTAAACTCGGTATTATTTTCATTCTCTTGCTATTGTTCCACCATCTCTCCATTAAATTTGCTTCCTAAAATTCTTCTAGGAGCTTCAAAATGATATCATTTGGTGGTAGAGCCCTAGAAGCCCAAATTTTTTAATGATTTGTCTTTCTTGCCTTAAATTCAAATTTAAAAAAGAAAATCCTCAGCATACCCAATTCATTCCTACCGAATTCCCAGCCCCAACCTCTAATTTTCAAAATCAAATACAACATTCCTACCTTCACAAAAATTCTTAGCCGACACCTACCATCAAAACCTAAGCCCTCAGCAAACCTTGATTTGGAATCTTATGTCCGCCGAAAACTTGATCGGGTGAAGAAGATGCCAAGCCGCTATGGATAACCCTCAACAAGGTGTCTAGGAACTTATTATAGAGGATATACAACAAAAAATCCTTTATCTGCAATAGAGACTTGATAACTTTGAGATGAGATAATCCGGTGAGATTACCCATGACCATAACCGTGACTCGTCTGACTGAGGGCATGAAGTAAATCCCTTCAGTCATGAAATTTCAAGTGACAAACAATTGATCTTGCGTTGATTTGACTTGGAATAAAGAAGCTAGGATGTTTGAGTGAAGATTGGCTTGCCAGATTTTAATGGTCACATGAATTCAGACGAATTTATCGAGTAAATCAAGGCAATGAAATGAGTTTTGAATATAAGGATGTTCCACTTGAAAGAAGAGTAAAACATGTCGTCGTCAAGTTAAAGAAGAGTGCGTCTTTGTGATTGAAAAATTTGAAGCGCCTATGCCAATATTAGGAAAAAAATAAAATCATTAGCTGTTCTAAGATGAACGAGAGTTGCAATGCAAATACCTTCAAATATTTTATGGGCAGGATATGTTCTTGTGATTTCATCACTTACGACAGAAAAATCTCTCACTGGAGGAGAATACGATTGAGTTCGAGCAACTTATGTTGAAATGTAAGCTAGTAGAGCTTGAGGAGAATATCGTAGCTCGATATCTGGGAGAATTAAGATCGTCTATTGGTAATGTGGTACAGTTTCAACGCTATTGGACATTACAAGATGTTCAAATTCTAGCCCTGAAGGTGGAGAGACAACGCATTAATATCAGGTCCATACCACTGTTCAGACAGATTTCAACTCCATGATCATACAACAAGACTACACCTAGTGGAGCATTCAAGCCAACCTCGTCATAGGAGAAATTTGTTATCTTGCTTAGGAGAAGGTAGTGAACCTCCTCACTATGGTGTATTTGTATCTTGCTTAGGAGAAGATAGTGAACCTCCTCACTGCCCGTACCAGTTATTTTGCTGTTTCAGCAGGGAAAACTGCCGAACAACACCTATTCCCCTCCAATATTGTCGATCATTCTTGTTTTCATTACCTTATTTTTCTTCTAGCAGCTCCTCCTTAAATCTGCTTCATAAATACCTTCTAGGAGCAGCAAACGGTACCAAGGTATGCAATTGATATCTGTTGCTATGTAATTGGTATCTGTTGAAAAAGATGTATAAAACATGTTAGCATGCACTAGTGATTGTGTATTTTAAATAATTGCAAGTCATTTTTAACTTAATGTCATGAAGGAAACTAAATTTTTGGTATTCTCATATAAGAGCTTATAAACATTTCTTTCTCGAACTAGAGTTTTTTCTCACTGGAATGTCATGAAGGAAACTAAATTTTTGGTATTCTCATCTAAGAGCTTATAAACATTTCTTTCTCAAATTAGAGTTTTTTCTCACTGGAACTTTCTCACTGGAACTGTTTTGAATTTTGATGCCATTCTAAATTCTGAAATTTTGAAGTTGCCATCAAAGAAACACTGGAAACAATGCAGGGTAGACTGGATTATATTAATTTGCATTTAAGTTGACTTTTTTTTTCCGAGATTTGTTCATTTAGATCTTTGTTTGCGCCTTCTGTTAATTTTTTCTTATTATGTCCGGTAAGTGTTTTATTATGTCTTAAGTTTTTCAAGAGCTCTCTTAACCTGTTATTACTAATTTTTTTTTGTGTTTTTTCCGTTGTTTGTTATCATTTGCAGAATGACATTCGTAAAAATCCTACTTTTAGATCGCAGTTCCATGAGATGTGTGCTAAAATTGGAGTCGATCCCCTTGCCTCCAACAAGGGATTTTGGGCAGAGTTACTTGGAATCGGTGACTTTTATTATGAACTTGGTATTATTATTTTCTGACTGGCTCTTGATCGTTTTGCAACTTTCTGTTTGCTTGACTAACTTGTCGTAATCCATCTTTCATAGAGATATTATCTAATTAATTTTTTTTATGCTATATGTCTGTATCTTTATCTATATGTATGTTCATTACAACAACAACAATAACAACAAAGCCTTAATCCCACTTCTATACATATGCTCATTATGAGAAGTATTTTTTTTTCTTGAGCCATCCTGCCTTTTTCTCATTGGTTGTCTTTGTTTATGGTAATCATGATTTCGTTTAGTGCATGTGTTTATTTTAAGGATGTCTTGTCTATGTTTTTGTTAATCTTCCTGAACTATACCATTGAAGTACAAATCTCTACAAAATTTGATTCTTACTGTTTTTTGTTTTTAACATTTTAAAATTTTTTTATTATTTTATTTTATTTTATTTGCTATATTCTTCCTGTTTAACACTGCCGTTGCCGGTCCCAAGTCCGGATGTAAAAGTGGAGGACAGCCAGCATAAAACTTGTCGAAAAAAATCATGACATGAATCCTTTTGATCATTGTGTAAGTGCTAGGGCATCCTCTGGAAGTGACACGCTGTATAGCCTGAATACAGTAAAAAGTATGCAAGGGCCGCTACACCGGCGCCCGAGTGTAGTATTAAATAAGCAAAGGTTCCCACATTACGGGCGAATGCGGGTAAAAAAATTAGTTTATGAAACTAACGGAACTAATATTAGGATATGATCTTGGAATATAGGTACTCTCAATGGTAAATTAATGGAATAAATTAATGGAATTATTTCATAGAAAAATTAATATCTTATGTATTCAAGTAACTAAATAGGTTGGAGAACATGCTAAGGAGATTGATAATTTAGGTTTTAAACTTTTGTATTCTGGTAAGAGTCGTACTAGAAATGTTGTAGGTGTAATTATAGATAAGAGTTTGAAAGATTATGTTGTAAAAATTAATAGATTTGGAGATAGAATTATAACCCTTAAGATTATCATTGATACTAAGATTTTTAATATTATAAGTCCTCATGCTCTTCAAGTAGGTTTAGATATAGGGTCCTAAGATAATTTTGGAATGACTTAGAAGACTTAATACAAATGGTACCTCTTGAAGAAAGAATTTTTATTGGAGGAGATTTAAATGGACATGTCGATAGAGTGGTAGAAGACTTCATGAATACTCATGGTGGCTAGAAGAAGAGATCGTCACGATTGTAAAGATTGTAAGGTCATTTCAAGTGAAAATTTAAGTACCCAACATCGTTTATTAGTTCTAGATTTTAAAATTAAGAGTTGTAAAATAAAGAATACTATGATTCATCATCGTAGAATTATATGAAGAAACTTAAAAAACACAATAAAAATTATTTTTATTAATAGAATTCAAGATTTCAAAATTTAGGATATTCATGAAGAAGCAAATGTTATGTGGGATAAAGTAATAAACACTATTAAACAAGTAGCAAAAGATGTGCTTCAAGAATCAAAAGAAAAAATTTTTATAGATAAAAGTAGTTGGTGGTGAAATAATAATGTGCAAGAAAAGATAAAATATAAAAAGTTATGTTATAAAAATTGGTTTAAATGTAAAAACTTAGAGAACTGGGAAAAAAATCAAACGGCCCGCAGCGAGTCTAAAAGAACAATCTGTGACGCTAAAAATTCTGCTTTTAATGATCTTTATAATAAATTAGATACTAAAGAGAGTGAAAAAATATATGTATAAACTAGTCAAATAAAGAGAAAAGAAAAGTGAAGATTTAACTCAAGTAAAGTGTATTAAAGATGAAAATCAAAAAGTACTTTTCTTAGAAAAAGATATTCAACATAGGTGGGTGAGTTACTTTTGATAAACTTTTTAATGAAGTTTCTGAAAATACGATCGACCTTAGTGATCTTAATATCGTGAAT